CACCAAGATAATCCAAGATCATCTCCCTATCACAGGATCCTTAATCTAATCACACCTTCAAAGTCTCTTTTGCCATGGAAGGTGATTTATCAGGTTTCAGGAATTAAGAGAGTGACATCTTTTAGGGGCCATACCATGGGGGATATAAAATATCAAACAACAAGGAACACAAGATCAAAATAACCAGTATAGCTTATTGCAAGATGCATACAGCTACCCAGCCAAGGGAAAATCAAATACAGGTAGTGGATCAGGGCTCATCTCTAGTCCACTCATTGGCTATGAGAATGAGATGCAATTCAACTTCCCTTGGCTTCAGTTTCATCATGTCTACCTGCACCTCCCACAGCCATTGGGGATTTTTGATGAAAGCATCCATGCAAATGCCTAAAGTGCTGGCACATGATAAGCACTCAACATATGTTCACCATATTCACTGAGCCAGGGGCTGGGGAAACTAAGTGGTAGAGCACTCACCTAGCATGCACGATGCCCTGGTTCCATCACCAACACTACAAAAAAAAAGCACAGAACCAAGGGATCCCAGCAGGGAAAAACCAGCAGGCAGGGACAGCATGGCAAGGCCTCATGGAGAAGAACACCAATGTAGTATAAGCCTCACAGAGACAGGGACCTGCATGGTGTCACCCACCCTTGCAGTTAAGAACCCTGGAAGAAGGCCCAAGACTAAGAGGATATGTAATAAACAGTTGTTGAATGAATGAATGAACAAATGAATCAACAGAGGTAGGATGTTTGAAAATGGGTGAGGATTGGGCAGTTGGGTGGCATATAGGAAACAGCAATGGATCATGGGTCAGAAGACCCCAGCACAAGTCCATGCCCTTCTAACTACCTGCAGAACACACCACTTGGCTATGCTTTCATGTGCAAAAAGAGGAGTTCAAACAAGATGTTCCTTACTCTTTTGATCCCAAAGCTGTCTAAGCTATGCATGGTTTACCCCAAGTCTTCCATCCTTCGCTGGAAACCTCTAGGTCAGTCAAATCACCTTATTCCCTCATTTATTCTGAACACATGCAGAACTTCCTCATCTCCAGCATTTTTCTCATGTCCCACCTTATCTTGCTCATCACTATAAAAGCACTAAAATTCCTCACTTTGGGAGATTAATGGACAAGGAAAAATGCCACCCCAGATTCAAAAGAACAGCCCCTCCTTTTCATGGACATGATTACCACATAAGGAATTGAAATCCTGAGATGTCTTGTGACCATTACTGCCTTAATTTTACATGTTTGTCTCCCATCTCCTAGACAAACTTGGTCTAAATATACAGTCCAGGCACAAAGAGGCCAGGAATTTCCATAAATATTTCTTTGTTTTATTAAACTGAAATGTGGATACCTGAGATCAGCAGAATTAAACTTTACGTTTCTTCCATCAGAGTAATTTTATTGAATTTATTGGAAAGGTAGACAACATTAGCAAAGGACATGGGCTAGATAGAAGGCAAAGGCTCACCTCAGGCTTACCTTGATCATGTCACTGTACCCACAAGTTCCTGAAGTAGAACCTACCAGAGACAGTGATACACATTATTTCCATTTCCCAAATCGGAGTGAAAGGAAAAGAGAAGGAAGCTGGGATATTTCCAAACATCCGGGAGCTATTTTGGGAAGTAAATGACTTTTCCATTAACTTTTTTTGGAAAAAAAAAAAGGAAAAGAAAGATAATAGACCAAGAAATTGTTGTTGACATTCTAAATGGAAGCAAGAGAAGATTCTTCCAGGAGCTGATAACTGATGGTGTTAAAAGCCAGACACTTCCTCATGTTCATACAAACATTAGCAATAATCTTAAAAAAATTAAAAAATGAACCAGGCCCATGCCCATAATTCCAGCACTTAGGAGGATGAGGCAGGAGGATGGCAAGTTCAAGATCAGTCTGAGCTACATAAAGAGACCCTGACTCAGAAAAAAAAGAAATGAAAAATAGAGAAATCATTAGTTGTTTACCAGAAAGTTCAACTTGATCATTCATATAATCCAGAAACAGACTCTGTAGGATAAGTATTATCAAAGTCCTATTAATTAATACTGAATAAAGGTTCTAAGAAGGTAGCAATGGCGGCATAAGCCTATAATCCCAGCACTCAGGAGGCAGAGGCAGGAGGATCTCAAGTTTGAGACCAACCTGGGCTACAGGATAAATTCCAGACCAGCCTGGGCTATGAGACCCTGTCTCTGAAAAAAAAAAAAAGAGATAGAGTTTCAGTAATTCACCAATATACTGAGCTGGCAATATCAAATGTTGTAAATTTAGAAAAGATTTTGTTTACATCCCTTGGCCCTCAATTATTTCGCTTACAACAGCATATCTCATGCTATTGCAGTAATTGCTAAATTACATATAAAATACTATTTAAAGTTGGCAATTTCGCTTAACCTACTATATTCATTTATTCCTCCATAATTTCATTTTCTTTAAAAACTTTGTTTCTGCCTTTCCTGTCGGCTCTCTATTTGGAAACTGTTTGGTGGAAGTTCTTATTTCTTGAAGACCATTTTCCAGTCCTATGAATCAAACAAGATTCAAAAAGGGTTTTAACTGTCAAATGCACATGGAGAAAACACTGCACTCTGACATACAGTCCTGTCCATATAATAAAAGTTAATTACAACTTTAAAGGATTCTTGGTCACCTATAAAAGTCAGCAACGTTGTATTTTGAAAGAGAAAGAAGAATGACTATTACACCCTTCAGCCAACTCCACTGAAATGTTTGTGGCTTGCTGAACATTCCATACATATTTCGGGCAAGGTATTATGGGAGCTGAAGTTCAAGCTGTCTCCAGCTGAATTTTCACTCACTATAAAAACAATGTCTCATAAAATACACACATGTTTTTACTTTACAAAAAATGTAAAATACCCACTTTTGTTCACTCAATCAACATTTAGCACTAGAAACAGGACTTTAAAAAACCTGCAAGCTAAGTGATGTCTGAAAAGACTGAAAAATGTTATTCAGTAACAAACAGATTTCTGGAAAGAGGAACATAGGAAATGTATATGAAATACATGGAAACAAAGATCCTACATGCTGATTTCTGTAGGGTCTGAGTACCTCTCTTGTGGGTTATTGCATTAAAACAAAAACATTTATATTTATCTTTCATTAAGAATTCCCATTCCAATATTCCAACTGCCTTATAAAATGAGCCTTACCTTTCCCTAAGCAAAACTCTTTTTTTTTTTTTGAGATAGGGTCTTGCTATGCAGCCCAGGCTGGCCTCGAACTCGAGGTCCTCCTGCCTCAGTCTCTCAAAGGATTGCAAGCCTGTACCTTCACACCGGGTGCAAAATACTATTTTAGTTGGTTCATTTTCTTGTCATTTGGGCTTTTAACAGACATACCGTACAAAAGAGTGCCATATTCCAAGCAGTTCTTTCTACCAATTCCAGAACTGTCCAAGATTTGATCAAACAGATGTGGCTCTCACATTTGGCTAAAATTATATGATGTCACCTGATTTTCAAAATAACTAAGCATCTTTTTAACCCACAAAACTGTGCTAGGATTTATGTAAATTTCTGAGCCCAGAGGTCTGCAATGTTCCAAGAGAATGTTGGGGAACCATGATCCTTTTGTTTGGTCTTGTTTTTCCTATCTAAAGCCATAGAAATCTTCAAACATGTTAGCAGTTTCCCTCCTCAAAAGTTTATTTTCAAACACTAGTGCCATGCAGCCTGCCTTTCCTGTGTAGGTGGGAGGAAGCAGGCACAATGTCACCACACTGGGCCTTTTCAAGTCTTGAAATTACTAGGAAGCCTGCAGTATTTCCTTTTTGGCACTCAGACCAGGGTGGAGAGAAGTTGCTCTAAAAAGGACAAGATATCAGATAACCAGTGGAAACACTTGGTTTCAACAGAATTCCTAATTCCACAAAAAATACATCTCTCCAAAAGCAGCTAAACCATTGGAACCAGCAATCAATCAGGCAAAAGTTAAGGAAATAACTTCACTCATGAAATTAACTAAATGAAATCTGGTAGTGCTTTCACTGGATCCGATTTTTTACACGAATAGTATGACAACTCTGTGCCCTGTGCATATCTTACACTAAAAGGAAACTTAAAATACAACTTGTTTTTCACTTATTCCAAAAGCATATGGGACTAATCATATCCCATTCTGGCCACAGTACACAAGGCTATTTCAAACAGAATTTTACCTCACTTGATTTTTAAGGCGCTAGAACAACCAAGAGAGTTTGGGAACAGTCTCTCCTAATTCCGAAAGGGTTGCGAATCCCTTTACTGTCCATCTGGCACCAGGCTGTGGATGGAAACTAGTCTGAACCCGCAGACAAGGAACCCACACCCCAAAGCTGGGGTGCACGTCTGTGATCAAGGTGACAGTGCATCTTGCCACTACGGGGACAGGGAATGCCTGCCCGTGGGCCGCAGGGGCCCGGGACAGGCATGGGCGAGGCCACCATAGAAAAAGGAAAAGAGGGTCATCCGTCAACCTCGGGAGAGGAAATTCCAGGGGCCCAGCTCCCAGGCTCCGGACAGCGGGTGACGTGAGGGAACCGAATCACAGCGTCTGCCCCGCGACAGGGGACCTACAGGAGCCCAGGGCTACTAGCTCCTGGGACTCAAGGCCCTGGAGAGCAGGAGCCTCCATCCTTGGGCAAAACCCTGGGTGTAGAGGTGTGGGGGTGGAGGGGCTCGGATCCTCGTCCCAACGCCAGAGATGCACGAACTTTGGCCAGGCCCGGGGGCCTCCTGGTGTGCTCAATCTTCTCCCTGGGCCCAAAGGTTAGAGTCGGCAGGACCATACCCCGAATTAGGGACTCCAGGAAACTTCCAACTCCGGGAGTGGAGACTCCCGGATCATAGTACCCATCTTGGCCCTGGGGAACGCGGACAGGGGCACCCCTGGGTTCTTGGCAGCCCCGCGCTGATCTGGGCGTGTTGCCAGCGCATCGCCTGTGGTGGCACCCACGCCGGGTCCCGGAGGCCCCCTTACCGGTCGCGAGGATCGATCCACGACGTCTGGCGGGTGTTGTGGTCGATGTAGAAGACGCGGCCGTCGTAGTCGCGCGCCTCCTCCCAGCCGGCAGGCAGCGGCAACTCGGCGCTTTCCCGGGCCCGCGGCGGCGGCGGAGCGGAGGGCACCGAGGTTGCGGGGACCACGGCGGGGGACGCCGCTGGCGGCGGTTCCCGCTGGGGCTGCGCGGGAGGCGGCGGATCCCGCTGGGCCTCCCGCGACTGTCCCCGCCGTCGCCGCCGGCCACCGCTCAGCCACGGCATGACGGCGCGGGCCCCGCCACCGCCCGGCCGTCCCGCGCGCGTCGCCTCCTCAGCCAGCACTAAGGCCCGGCGCCCAGGGCGCGGGGGCGGCCACGGAAAGCCGCCCACTGCACCCGGCGCATCCTCCGCCGGGCGCCCGCGCACCGGCGCCCAACCGGCTTTGTGCGCCTCTGCGTGCGCCGCTGCCTGCGCCGCCCGCTTCGCCCGGGTGGCTTGGGTCACTGCCGCGCGTGAAGTCACAGCCCCAGAACCGGAGCTGCAGCCGCCGCAACCGGCAACCCCTTCACTCCTGTGGCCCCTCCGGCCATCTTCGCTCCTGCGCGCAACCGGGTCTGGAGGGCGGGGCGCTAGCAGGCTCCGCCTCCTCCCCAGCTGCTCCGCCCCTGCTCGCTACTCTTCGGCTCAGTATCCCTCCAAGGCTCCTCCTCCTCCCTCGACCTCTGCTTCCCTCCCTCCCACTGCCCCTAACTCCGCCTCCCGCTTCTCTGCCTTTTCCCTCAGCGACTCCTCCCTGCTGGATGCTCCTCCTCCAGTCTCCCACGGGGCCCCCTCCTCTGCGCTTAGCTATTCTGCCCCTCCCCCCACGCCCGCCGGAGGCTCCTCCTCCGCCTTGGTTCCCCGGCTCCGTGCGCTCCTCCCTCTTCCCTGCAGCCCCACCTCCTCCCACCTCGGGAAACCGCAAGGGGGCCAGGATGGGCGCCGCCACGTCAATCCGCCCCCGGGCCACAGCCGAGAGAAAGGAGGGCTGGGAAGACTAAGCTCTACCCGGGCTGCCGGCGCCGCGGGCTTGGGGCTGACTCCTAGAGCCCAAATAATTCTCGAGGGAGAAGGCAGTCACCTTACTTCACCTGCTTGCAGACCCTGGACGTCTGGAATCCTCCCGTCTGTACATCTGAGTGGAGGCTGCGCCTTTGGTCTCCCGAATCCCCAAGCCGGCCCCACAGAAGTGGGCGAAACCCCCTAAGGAAGGCGGCGGGAGCTCGGGAGCTGAATGAGGAACCCTCAAGACCCTTTCGGGTGGAGCAGGGAAGCCACACCTGGAAAAAGGCAGCGCCTCACCCTAGGCAGGGGCCCCATTACCCTCCTTGAGCTCTTCATCCAGTTCCTGGGGCCCAGCAGTTTGAGCAGAGACCCACATAGGCCACTGCTGGACAGGACGCCAGACCGACTCCTAAAACTTGAAACCTAGGTGGCAACTTCTGTGCACATCTCCTTGGTAGGGAAATGGAAAGTCCCAGGGTTGGAGCTGTGCCTTGCTCCAAATCCCCTTATTCAGCCTGAGGGCCATAACACACCATGCCAGGAAATGCAGGAAAGTGTCAGGGAAGTTTTAAAATACTATTACAGTGATACACAACATCTATTAAAACGTCTAACAAGTCTGTATCCAATGTACGGAGAGGGAGGAACTAAAGAAAAATGTCCCCCCAAGTGCTCACAGTACTTTGCATTCCTTGCGTAAGATGTTTTGGGGTTTTTTTTTTAATTATTCACCTTCCGAATTTTTTGTAAGATGATACTATTTTATAAGGAAAAGAATTGTTTCTAAAAAGAAAAATGTGAAAATACAAAGACTGCCAGGAGTCTCTCCAAGGAAGGTCTTTCTTTCCCACCTCCCACTACAACCCTGAAATTTCCTTGCTCCTCAAGTATCTGCCTACCCCACCCAGAATGTTCTATGTTAGAAATTCCATCACTTGGGTCCTTTTAATAGGTAGCAGTTAGACACTTTTAGTGAACCATGAACGATTATTAGGTGTCCAAGGGAAAGGAGAGGAGAATCATAAAAGCAAATGCAGTCAGCCCTCCATGGGTTCTACACTCACAGATTTTACCAACCAAGAGTAGAAAATGTCACGTTGTTGCTGGTATGTATTACATAGTTAGGCCTACAATGGTTGTATCTGTGCTGGACATGTGCAGACTCTTTTCTTGCTATTATTCCCTAAACAATGCAGTATAACAACTATTTGCATAGCATTAACATTGTATTAGGTATTACAATTAATCCAGAGAGGATTTAAAGTATTAGGGAGGATTGCATAGATTATAAGCAAATATCACACTATATTATATAAGGGCCCTGAGCATCTAAGGATTTTGATATCCAGTGGAGAAGGTGTCCTGGAACCAATGCCCGGTGGACATGGAAGAACAACTGTACTTTGTGATGTTGCATGTGCTACAGAATGTCTCAAATGCTGGGTGTCCCCTCTCTGATCTCTTCTGATTAGCATGATTTGTGCCCAATGGGGCTGCCACTGCCTTCATTTCCTCTCCCTTTCTACCCCACTGTGAAATCATCTTACCACCCAACATGGCCCTTCTGATGCTATATTTCCACCCTCCTGGACACATTGTCATTTCAGAATCTCACAAATCTGCCAAAAATGTAGCATTCAAAACTACCCTGAATGGAACTAGAGCATACTGAAGTGAAACCATCCTCTAAAGAGAGAGATGGAAAGAGAGGGAGAGCAGCTATTCCACACATGGAAGGACCCATAGATGACAAGGCAAGATGAAGAAGGCACTGATAAGGAGGGATGGATGGATCTGCATTCAATCAGTAGCTCACAGACAGTATTGACTGGCCTTCACTGGAGTAAGGGGCCCTCTATACCCATTCTACTGGTCCCAAGTGTGGGCTGTTGGCCCACTATGCACAGATATTATGCTGAGTGTTGGGATATTGCACAACACAACACAGCACAGCACAGAGTCTGTGCTCCAACAGACCCCCATACACAGTTAGGGACTAGACAAACAAATAAGCAATTGTAATACCATAGTGACTTGTGCACAAATGAAGCCAGGTGCCAGCCTCAAGTTGAGGACTCAGGGGAGGTCTTGTGAGACTGAAAGGAAGATGGCTTAATTGGGAAAACTGAGGCTCCAGTCTTTTGGATTCCTGGGTTCTGAGCTCGTGTGCCTTGGTACATGGAGCTGCTGTCATCAAATCCTTGTTGATTTGTGTAGCAAATGCTGCTGTGGCCTGTCCTTGGTTGAGGCAAGCTCCTTTCTCTAGAAGATACTGATGATAATCCTTCCTTGACAGGAGCTATCTGAGAGGTCGCACACTCACATCCACCCCAGTCCAACCCCAGGGACAGACTATGCAGTATAACAGTCTGCCCACTTTTCTTCAGTGGGACAAATTCTAGTGCCCTTCACACTCAAAGCTGCCCAGAGGATTGGACTGAGGCTAACCTTCTCCAAACCATTGCTTTGCCAGCTCCTCCCTTGCCCCATCCTGCCTCCCACATCCATGTAAATATGCCCCAGTCAGTTGCTCATAGGAGAAACCCATCTCAGCCACTGCTTCTCAGGAGCCTGACGAGGAATAGTTTCCTGCATGTCTGCTCTTGTCTAAGCACTTAGTAAATCTGAGCTCAATTCATCATCACAATGTCTGTAAGTATTCTTGTTTTCATCTGCACATACAAAAAGAAGAAAGGACAGTGACATGGCATGCCAGTGATGAGAGATTGGAGACTCTCCCTGAAAAAGCTTAATCCACAAGCCCACCCACCACTACCTCTGGACCACTCTGCTTAAGATAACTAAAGTGGAGCTGGGTTTAAGATTTGTCATCATAAAAGGAGCAGAGCCAGAGACAAAGAAGCCAATGTTTGGGGTGACCACGACCTTGATCACCCCATTAGTACTATCTGATTTGCAATGTTTGTGCAGGCATCTGTTGATTATCCCTAAAAACCTATGAATGGAGTTGGTAAGGAAAAAAGGTTAGTAGAGGAATGAAGAAGCCCATGACTTCCCAGCTTTGCCATAATTTGGAAAGGGCTGTGTGTGTGTGTGTGTACCTTGAGGGAAAATAAGACCTGTCATTCTTGCAGTCAAAGGGTACTTTCATTCCATGTTGAACTAAAAAATACATGCATACATACAACACTGCAGGGTAAAAGAGTGTTTAGTCTTAACTGAATACACAATTATGCATTTTTTATTTCCTCTACATTAAAACCAACAGCCATGCCAACAAAAAAGTAACAGCAATGTAGTGATCCATCCTCCCACTAAGATTTCAGATGGAAAAACAGCTCAGAAAAATCCACTTTGGCTCTGGGTAAAGGATATGCAAAACTGTTTTTGTTCTCTTACCCCCAAGCCCTCTGGGGAAGTCCCCTTTCTAAAGCTGTTAAAATGCACCAATATATAACTTGCAGAATGCTGTCTTTAAAATGGTTGTTATAGAGTAAATCAGACAATCAAGGACAGAGATTGAAGATTTTTACTCTGTTAGATTATGCCTTCTCTCCCTACCTGTCTCTACAAAGACAACCTTTATTTTAAAAAGGAAGATACAAAATTGGATCTATACATATACAATACTTAGAAGCTTCTAGAAAAGGAAAATCCATGAAGGCTGAAATCATAAAGTCTAAAATGAGAAAAAATAAGTACAGTACTGATAAGGAGTCTTGCCTACCTTGTATAAACAATCAAGTGTTCTAGGAAGTGACACATTGAGTAATTCTACACATTGTGCTAAAACTACAACGGAAATGGGGCTGGATTGGCTCTGAAGAAGAAATGGTTCATTATTTGGTGATCTTTAAATGGTAGAATAATTACTCAATTATAGGTGCTTTTCATATATTTAAATAATGCAAATCCTCCAGTAGCAGAGAAGATTAGGAGAAGTTATTCTTGTTCATTCCTGTCTTGCTGGTTTGGAGGTTGAGAAGGAGGGAAGTGCAAAGATTCCTGAGGAGCTCTCTCCCCAGGCTCAGGAATTGAAATTGAGGTGGGATGCGGTTGTTCCTTGATGCCTATTTCATGGTTTTATGTGAAGACACGAACTTTAGACATTTATTTGACTTGTAATTTTTTTTAAAAAGGTCATTGTTTAGAATTTTGTGGGTAGACTGGGAGCCTGGAAGCACTGTTCTCACGTGGGACTTCCTTGATTTGTGTAGGTATGTACCTGGATTATTAAAGTGCAGATTAAAAAAATACCAATTTATCTCCCAAATTTAAGAAACCTTGGGACTGAGTGTGGTGGTGGTGCACACCCATAATCCCAGCACTTGGGAGATTGCAGGAGGATTGAGAGTTTGAGGAAGCTTTTTTTGAGACCCTGACTCAAAAAAAAGAAGGAAGAAAGGAAGGAAGGAAGGAAAGAAGGAAGGAAGAAGAAAGAAAGAAAGAAAGAAAGAAAGAAAAGAAAGTCACCCATGATTTTCCCTTCTATCCCTCCTCTCCCAATA